AGCCCACAATAGCTCACACGGATGTTGTGTAACAAAGCAACTGGGCAAGTCCCCTCTACGCTGAGCATCAGGAAACTTGGATTCTCATCTCTGCTCAGTTCCCCACGGGCTGTGTGACTTTCAGCAAGACATTAACCTCTCTGTGCCTCATCTCTGTTCCCATCTGTAAAATAAGGAGGCTAAAGAGCAGAGTCTCTTCACGTGCCTCGCAACTCTAAAATTGTTTCTGTTACTATAACATACGTAGTGTGTCATCAGCGCAATCCTGAATTTGGTTCTCTGCCTAGACATGTTAAGTTACGTGGAAAGTGGGCAGCTTCCTGAGACCCAGGAAGGACAAATGCAAGACATCATTGGAGACAGCCATCTCCTGACAGCAAGTCCTTCCACGAGAATGTCGGTTCTTTGGCTCCACCATGACAAGGAAGGATGAAGCCCCACAGGGACCCGCCCCAAGAGAAGGTGGGCCACGCAGACACGTGCCCAGTGTCCCCTGGTAAGCCTCTGACCTGAGAGATGACCGTGTTCTTGTACTCCCAGAGCTTCCTGGCTTCTGTTTTCTCCTTGTTGCTCAGCAGCTGAGGCCTGGGAACCTTCCCAGAAGCCCTGGCCTCAATAAATCGGGTTGCCAAGGTCCACAGCCGCTGCTGCCATCTCAGCACACCAGGGAGAGCATCGGCTGAGTAAATGAGAAAGAGAAAGAGAGACACATGAGAAGGACTGCTGTGGTTTTACCTAAGGTGAGAAAAGCACCTGGGAATCCAAGACGCACTATACTGTGCCCTGATGGATTTGCCCAGGTGGGAGGGTCCTCCCCGGCTTTCAGGGTCTGGGAGCTCAGACCAGGACTGACGTCATCATATTGCAGAGCCCCAGATATTCAGAGCACTGGATGGCAGGGCTACCCACAATGCTGCCCATTGATTGCCTATCTGATTAAGAAAGCTTGCTGTGACAAGTGTCTGTGGTACTAACTAACGGTGTGCTTGGAGACGCAGGTGACTTACACTGGTACACGTTTCTCGTCTCATGAGGACAGGTCACATGCAGTGGCAGTGGCCCGCAGACTATGCTGGGAGCTGCAGGGCTGTACAGCTCATGGGATGTCTTAACACAATCTGCGACCTTGCCAGATATGTGGGGATTATCTGTTTCACACAGTTCATCAAATCTAGTTGCTAATCTGACCTGGAGAAGCTGGACGGCTTCATCTCGTGTTCCTGGGTCACACAGCTAACCAAATCAGGGCCAGTCTAGGTCTTTTACACTTTGGAGACTGGGCTAGGCATTCTTTTTTTTTTTTAAGTAGTAAAAGAGCAGTTTATTAGAAGATATAGTACACTTCAAAGAAATAGAAGCGAGCCCGAGCAGTAGAGAATGGCTCAAGGGCCATTACTAGAAGAGAAAGTACACTCCAAAGAGTTTGGAGCGGGCCGTGCAAAAGAAGCTCAAAAGGCGTGGACTAGGCATTCTTAAGCCTAGATGCACAGCAGGACCTCTGGAAGGCTTGTTAGAAACAGATTCCCAGAGCCCATGCCGCAGGGAGGGGTAGGGAGCAGAACCTGTGCCTGAATGTCTGTGTGTCTAAGTCCCCAGCGAGTCTGACGCAGCTAGTTCTAGGACTGGCGCCTGTGACTACTGCTCGGGGGTCACACCTCTTACTAGAGGTGGTACGTCTAAATAAACAGCGATCCTGGCCACCTGATGTCTGCTTCCTGTAACGGTCGGGCCAGACCACACGGAGGAAGGAATGATGGCTGGACAGTTTATTCTAAGATACCCAGATACCTAAGATGACTTCACCTCATGCCATTTTAGAGCTAAATGACGTTAGAGAGACAAAGCTCCCCTGAGGGGGGTTTTGGAGGCTGCTGTGGTGAGTGAAAAGGTCAGGGATTTTCTGGATCAGCGAGGGGCGACGCCACTGTTCTAGAACAAAACCTTTAGGGAAGGTCGAGCGGGGCCTGGTGTCTGTGGACCACAGCGGGCCGAGGGGTAGCATGGAAGCCAGCCTGGCTCTAAGGAAATGTTCCCAAGTGGGGTCCTCGTGGGACCTGCATCCGAACACCACAGGCTCTGAAAGGCAGGCGCTGCGCGCTGTCAGCAGGTCCGGGGTGAGGACCGCGAATCTGCGATGGCAACGAGCTCCCCCAGGGGACGCTGGGGCACATTCCATCCGAGGGCACAGTCCTGAGGACGGGACACACCGCTGCTCGCTTCGTGGGACTGATCCTACACGCCTCTACCACTGCCCTCTGCGAAGACGTTTGCTTCCCCGCATTCTCTCGGCGCCCGAGGCCAACCACAGAGGAGGCAGGTCAGGCAGAGGCAGGACACTCACTCTTCACATCCCACAGGATATCCTTCTCGGGAGGGGCGGCAAAAAGGAGGTAGAGCCGGACCGTGTCGACGCCGTACTGGCCAACCACCTCCTCGGGGTCCGCGCCGTTGTGTTTGGACTTGCTCATCTTCTCCCACGTCACCTCCAACCTCTCTTTCGTCTTTGCGTGAACAGGCACGGAACCTAGACGCCGAAGTAACACACAGGTGTGGCGTGTGGGATTCTGACTCAGGCCCACAAAACCATATTCACGGAGAAAATACTGGGCGGGCGCCTCCGAGGGTCCACTTGAAGAACCCCACTACTTCACCTCCCAGGCCTCTTCCCCTCCTCTCTATTATATTATAAAAAACGGGTTTAAATAAAGGAGGCCCACCTCCCACCCCCAATCTTCCTTTCGTGAATATACAGTTATAATGGCCTGTGACAGCTGTTGCTCAACCACAAAATAAGACCAAGCAATTTCCCCCTTTATAAAAGTAAATTACTCAGATACAAAAACGGAAAATAAAAAACAACACACACTGCTGTTTTCTTTATGGGTTCACAGGCTCCTGTGGAGCTGGCAGGCTGACCTGAGAGGCCACTTCACCTCCAGGCCTGGTCTCGGTGTCCGTGTCGCAGGCACCCAAACGTGATCTGGCAGCATTAGGGCCCTGGAGTTGACTGGCTGGGCTCCCATTAAATGTGGGGTTCCCCAGTGGTGCCAGCGTGCCACACCCTGTCCTTGGGCAGCGCCTCCTCCGCACCCACACACACCGGTGGTGCTGACGGAGGCGGCCTTAAATGGCTATGTTTGGATGAGGTGACCTTGCTGCCAAGACCCAGTGGCTGGGACCAGGAAGGACATCTGACAAGGCTAAGCCTCTGAGTCAGGGACTGGGACTAAGAGACAGAACCTCTGTTTTGATGTTGTTGGGCACTGGAATCAAAAAGTCCTTGAGAGATGGGGCACGGTGGCGCTCCAAGGTTCCTTTGGAAACCAAGAATGGGAGAGGGGAACCCAAGCGTGGTGGAGGAAGGACAGACAGAAGCAGGACCAGGCCCTGGGGCGGGGGAGGGGGAGCGAGAGAGAAAGGAGTGGCCTGGTGGCTTCCCGTGTGCAGGGAGGCCCGGCCGGCTGTATTTCCTGCAGCTGTGTCTGGGTGACATCCCTATGTCCTTTGCTAAGCCCTAAACCTGCCTTTGGGTGGATTTCTGTGCCTTCCAGCCAAATAATCCCCGACTCCAACAGCAACCAAACGCACAGGGACAGACAGATGTACCTAAAAGCCAACTCCATACTTCATGAGCAGCACACCCATTAAGTAGATGGAGGCCTTCCTTTGGCCATCCAACTATTCTGACCTGGGGGGCAAGTCTGCGTGAGACATGGAAAGAAGTTCCCCACACTGTGTGGCCCGATGACATCAGAGCAGGGGGATATGTTTTGTGCAGGCTCTGGTGGAGCTCAGGGAACCACTGCTCCCCACCCTGCACCCCCCCCCCACTTCCAGGCTGCAGCTAGCCTGTACAGCACTGTGATGCAAGTTGAGAAAAAGGCATCTTTCTAGGCAGAGAAGTTGAGACGTTAGAAAAAGCTGCCCTCCCTCGGCAGGTGTGGCCCTGAGGTGTGTGGTCTGGCAAGTGGCAGGATCTCAGGACCGGGTCACCTACTCAGCTGGGGGCCTTTGTTCAGTGCACACCCTGCACAACCATACACGGCAGGCCTGCCCGTCACACAGAGTACGTCACTAACAGCTGACATTCATGTGCCCTGGATTTAACTCCTTTCCCCTCTGGTCCGTGTTGGAGACCCACAGCTAGTTTCTGCGTTGCCAGCTGCTCTCTGATCGTTCCCAACCTGCCATATTGCCGCTTTAAGTAGGTAACTCGCTGACTGCTTCAGCCTAAACCTTCTCTCTAGTGGTTTGGCTTGACAGGCTGCCTGCCATTTAAGGGGTGCTGGGTTTACCTAATCTCATCCATTATGCGCTGGTTTTCTGAATTTCATGGCCAGAGAGCTGGGGGTTTCCCGCAGCTGCCTCTAGGTACGACCCCCTCCCCACTTTCTACCATGTCATTTACTTTGTTTGTTCACTGGGTGCACATGACCCATCCTCATGGTGCGGGAGGAACTGGGAGGAAGAGTGAAAACGCAGGATGGAGGGAAAGGCTGGGAATCTGGGAGAAGGAGGGCGAGGGGGAGGTCTTCCACCAGGGAAGTGCCAGGCGGGGCTGCTCCGGGAGCANTGACGCCAAGCGGATAGGTATCACCGCTCGGCCCGCAGATCAGGCCGTGGGAGCATGAAGAAAGAAGCACAGCTGGAAGACGGGGAGGCTCCAGGCAGCTCTCAGCTTTGTCACTCATCAACCAGGCGTGTCATCTAACATGCCTGGGCCTCGTGACCTCATCTGCAAACTGTGGGGTTGGGTGGGGGAGGGGGTTTGGACCAGATAATTTTTAAGAAGCTTCCAGCTATAAAGCTAGGTTGTGACTATGGAAAAAATGCTTCCAGATAACAGCCACACCGAGAAGGTGACACCATGGTGCTGCTCTCTGTCCCTGACCTGAGACCTTGCAGGCCACCTCCCTCCTCTGCAACCAGCAAATGAGGACAGACAGGCCACTTACCAAGAGGGCACTGCTGAGTCCCATCAGATGAGAAATCGCAGAATTTAGTGAGAAGTCCTCTGTGAAGTGGGTGGTCACCTATGGGTAAAAAATGAATTATTCCTTTTCTTCAAAATTCTTTTAAGCTTTCCACAAAAAGTTCCAAAAATGTGAAATGAAATGAATGCAATCATAGCTATTTATAAATGTATTCCCTACCTCAAATAATCACGATAATGTTTCAGCGCTATACTGTGCTGACAAAGGTTTAAAATCATGTCAATGTTGTTTTCACTCGAGGCTTCCTCTCCCCCCATGTCTGGGACAGTGCTGGTCCTCACAGTAGGTCCTTCAGAAAACACTGCTAACTACCTGAACAGGAGGCGGGACCCACTGATGGGCAAACATCAAAAAGACAGTCACCAGGAGATGGGGGAAAGGAGGTCGCTTCTCCTTGGTCGTGTGACATTAATTCACAAGAAAGATTACTCGTATATGGGACGAGGTTGGTTTACACTTTCAAATGTGGAGTTGGCACAAAAACACTCACACGATTTGTCAGCTATTTCCTGTTTGTGTGTTTTTAAATTTTGACCTTGGGCAAGAATATAGAAACATAACACATCTTTAAGATGTCAGGAGCTCCCAACTTGCTGAAATATCCCAATTCTATTATCTGACAGAATAGAAGAATTTGCCAAATCTAGAGAGAAAATATGTGGTATGAAAGCAACCGTTCAGGGATCACTCAGATCACGAAACTTGATTCACCGAGCTCTGTTTCTCCGCACCAGAGGACACAGGGTGGAAATAAAGCTGAAGAAGTGTCACCAGATGAGACCATGCTGGACCCCGGGCCACTTCCAGGTTATACAAACCAGAGAGGAACAACCTGCTCCTTCAAGGGCATTAGTTACCAAAGTCCAGATAAGTGACCTTGGCTGCCTTTATAAGTTTGAATCAGCACATCTTAAAAAAAAACAAACAAAAAAACAGACTGAGGAACATTTGGGGTATCTGGTACCCATTAAAAATGGCTTCAGATTTCCTAAATGCCTTCTTTTCAGAGACATATGACTTTTTTCTTTTTTTTCCACAAAGTCCTTAAAAAGGCAAATGTTA